GACGTCGAATCTATTTTTTATCAAAATATCGTAATGATATCGTAATGATATCATTGCAATATCTAATCAATATCGATTGTAAACTCCAAGTTTCAGCAAAGTTACTATAAAAATATACCTTTATTACCATGGAAGCATGGTACCGAATCTTGTGAACATATTTTTGGAATTTCTCAACAATTTCGTTCTGATTTCAATTATTTGGAAATTCTTCAAATGATTCCAAAAATTAACCAATATCTTAGGTCTGTTCAATCAGATAATTTACTATTTAGAAAGGAAAAAATCATATGTGAAGGTAAATATTATGATTAATATATATTCTGTGATTATTTTAATGATTTATCTTTTTTTGACCAAAAAGGTTTTCCATTATCATCAGAATATGTTGGTTTTAAATATATATCACCATTTATTCAATCAATAATATAATCTTCATGATATTATATATATGTTCATATTAATTTAAACATTAATGACAAAAAGCATAAATTAAACTAAAAAAATTATTTTATTTTTTACTTAGGGCGGTGACATATATTACGTAATATCATTTTATTATAGACGCTTACTCCCACCCCCAGGTAAGATATCGTGATCACGTGAATACAGATCATTTCTTTTTATAGAATTGTGCATTGGTATTTCGTCAGTATTTCATCAGTATTTCATCGGTTTTTTTTTTAAAAAAAAAATCGGTCAATTTCATTTATTTTTAAAACACGATAAATAAAAATGATATGAAACAATGATATAAAAATTTTATCCAATTTATATTTGCACGTTTATATATTAAATTCATTAAATTCTCAATGTCTCACATTCTGAAATTCTAAAATTTTAAGTCCAAAAATCTTTAACGTTCGTATAACAGATAATCAAAAAAAAATGAGATTAATTACAAATGAATTAATGATATTCCATAGTATAGTGATTGCGACACCTATTACTGTTTGTAGTTGCGATTCACATTTTCTTGTTACAAAAGGAGAAATTGAACTCGCCGCAGAACTCATCCAGTTTATATTTAGATTTTAAACTCTCAACACGTCAATAATTTTGTTCCCATTTTATATTCCAAAACTTTGCAAGCTGTTTCTTTATTGACATTAAAATACAAGAAAATTGAGTAATTACAGTTTAATATGAACCATCAAACCTTCTTTTTTAGCCCAAAGTTTAATAAGAAACCGATTTATAAATTACAAACAAATAAGTACCAAGAATTCACAAATGCTTACGTATATAGTATTATGGTTAAGACCGGAAATGGTGATCCTACCCGTGCTGAACTTTGTGAATCAGCAGCTAAAGAATGGAATAAAATTAAAAGAAAGGATAACACGGAAATTGATGACATTATTAGAGGTTACCTGGCCACGTCATATAATCTATGTGATATACAAACAGTGAGGTCAAAATCATCTGGGTTTAAAGAAGAATCACACCCAAATCTTCCTATGTTTCATATAGTGGATCCTGTTCAGGAAATCTCTCTTAATGCATCAGCTCAAAAAAAGGCAGTAAACGAGATACAAATAGCAGAAAAAAAGCTTATCGAGTTTGAGCAGATCTACAACATCACAACCGATTCTCAATTTCAGCTTGATACTTATAAAAAAGTAGAAGATCTTTGAGATGAAATCAGATCTAATAAGGAAAGAATCATTAAATTAAAAAGAAATGCTAGTTATGCTCAAAAGTGCAGAGAAAAAAAAAGAAAAATACTTAACGAAAATCAGGAAGTAATACGATATGACAAACCTGGTCGTCCTTCACTTCTTTTTGAACATCTGAATTTAAATGATCATATCCATGATTCGATCGAATTTGGAGCAGCTGACGAAAAATGATGAAGAGAAGTTGTCAAAGTCCAAATCATTGAAAATTTGTGCAAAACCCTTAAAGAAAATTATAACGTTTATATGGCGAGAACTACATTAAATAATTACTTGTTGCCTCAGCAATCCAACTCCATCGCTGCAAGAGCGCATCATCATCCGGCATTTGTCGCAGTAGCTAGCGTCTCATGTACCAAAATACGGGATCATCCTGATGGTTATTATTGCCTTGCATCTGTTAAAAGCGCGAGACAATTTGCCACCATTTTTGCCGATAAAGCTGTTATTATTTCGCAAGATGATAAGGCGAAAATAGGTCTTGGAGTACCCGCTGTAGGTTGGCCATTTCGCACTTTACAATCAGTACATGAGCCTGTTAGCGTGGCTAATCATGATTTTTCTCTAGAAAATGGGCAAAAGTTAGTTCCATCAGTTTATCTTATGATAAAACTAAATGAATCGAACGATGAGTTACGAATAGGACAACTTTCAATCTTTGTACGTCATCAATAGTCCCTTGGTACATCCTCACTCTCACATATGCAAGACCTCAAAAACCTTGCTCTGGATCCTAAATATAACGATGTGTTGAAAACAAATGGAGAGGTTTGATCTATTTGGGTGTTATTGGTGGATGGAAGTCCAAACGAAAATCCAAGACATCTAAAAAATATTAAAAACTACTGCCAACTTTTTCAAAAATTTGATTTAGATTACCTGACTGTGCGAACACATGCTTCAGGTTAGTCCAAGTATAATCCAGTTGAAAGAGGCATGGCAACACTATCCGGAAAATTGGCTGGTATCACGCTACCAGTTGATCATTTTGGATCACACTTAAATACATAAGGCAAGGTAATTGATCTGGAGTTAGCCCTTCAAAACTTTCGATATGCTGGAGAATCACTTTGCGATATTTGGCGCAAAGATATGATTTTTGGGAAAAGCGTTGATGCACGGTATGTCAAAGAGCTTACTAATCCGTTTGAAAACCTAGAATTTGAGGCAGGGTACAGCAGTGTTCGGCAAATGACTTGAAATGACCAAATGATTCAAATGATAAATGACAAATGACATGTCATTTCAATGCTCAAATGACAAATGATCTTGGTCATTTTAATGTAATTTTGGCCAGCATTATGATTTTTGCCTACACTACATTCATTATTTTTTAATTATAGTCACATGATTATTTATGTGATAAATATTAGCCAATCAAAATCAAATGATTGAAATGACCAAATGACAAATGATTATGAATAATGACAAATGATTTCATAAATCATTTAAATGGCCAAATGACCAGGTCATTTCCGAACACTGGGGTACAGACAAAGAAAAAGAAGAAGAGTGAAAACAACAAAAAAAGAAACAAGAAAATGAAAATGACATACCGGAATGTTTTATGCCATAGTCATGGATCAAAAACCATTGTAATTTATGTCTATATTCTCTTGATATTAAACGTTGTACAAATGCAAGTTGTTGTGGGCCATCTCGTGCAAAAGAAGCTACAGATTTTCTCTTGAATAATGGTTTTTTGCCTCCAATTACGAAAGCTAAAGATGAACATTTTACAAATCCCATACATCTCCTTGAGTATTATGACCTCTTGAAAATTCCTGGGTATGATTCACATTGTTCATCACTTGATCAAACAACCTATTCGTGCCTTCGTTGCTCAGTGTGCAACAAATACTTTCCAACTCTTGCTTATTTGACAAAACATAAAAAAGCAATGCATACAGCAAGCTGGGGACGACCTAAGAGAAAATCCAAGAATAATTCAAATTCTCTTGATGATTCCTCTCTTCTCACTTCACAACAAAACGAAATGTGTTTAAGGAAATATATGTCAGATAATGAATGATCGTATATAGCTTAGATATAAAAAAATTTTTTTTGTTAACATGGGAACACAAATGACTAATAAATTCTAAGCCACTAAATCGGTTATATACTTTAATGATATCATGTGATCAATATTAACATAAGATTTTTCGTAGCCTTCCCATCTCCTAAAATATTACGTAATAAATGTCATCACCCTTATTACGAAACTTACATTATTACTAGGTTATGATTTTAATGAATATGCAGAAATTAATTTTTTAAACAATAATCTTGAATGTTTACGGTATTGGCCATCTGATATTAAAATTGATAATGCAATTAGTATAGGTTATGAGAGAGCTATTCACCTAGCAAAATATTTGGAAATGACAGCTATACCAGATGATGCTTATTATTTTAATATTCATAAGAGATTTCCAGATTTACAGCTTGATGATTTTTGGAATGATGATCCAAATCCTAGAATTATGGATAGTAATGATGAATTTAATGTGGATAATTTGTCAACTAATCAATATATAAATCACACAATATCTAAAATGAATATAAATCGAGAAAAAGAAATTAATTCTAATGATTCGCAAATTACATTTCTGATGAAAAAAAATTATAATTGGGGACCCGCACAGCAAAAGCCGGGGCTCGGCTGATAACGTGTTTTCAAGAAAAATGAGGTTTTAAATTACGTAATTGATTTTGCTGATCATTGCGAAAAAAGGCGATTTCTCAAAAACGTTCTTTATAACTTAGAATGAAATTTCGCAGGAATCTAATTGAAAACATTAGCTTCTTTTTAAATATTTTTTTTTTAATTAAATCATGAAATTTGTATAGCATGTATTTCAATAAAGTTCATGTAATATTTCTTTAAAAAAACCAAAATAGTTCGCTTCAAAAACTTTACTTTTGCTTGATGTTTGCCTTTTAGAAGTATAAAAAAAAATAATAAACATAATGGCGGCGTCAGCAACAGTAAGTAAACTAAGAAATAGGCTTATTTTATTTGAAAAATTAGTTTAACTTGTTTCATTTTCATTCGGCTTAGAGCAAGTAATGTCATGAAAGGGTAAATCAACAAAAGAGGAAATTTCCTTATATAATTCCTCTTGTCTTTTCAAGGAAAGGGGTCTGGGACTAATTGTAGATGGTAAAATATTCGTGGCATAAGTACAGTTATGAATTGTGGCTTCTTTATAGTTATCTTCAAGCCTATCTTTATAAAAAACAACTCCGGGATGTTGCGAATTAAAATAAAAGTGGTGGTATTTTTGAACATTAGGTAATTTTTTAAAACTTTGAAAAAAATCTTTAAAATTATAATACTGAAATCCTTCTTCATTTAGATAACGCTGTGAAGTATTAAGACGAACTATAGTAGAACGATTAATGATAGAAGTTACATCGTCTACAGTATTTACTCTACTTTTCCTATAAAGAATCTTAATTAATCCGAAACAACTATCACAAATGAATTTTGTGTGCCCAGGTATTATAAAATTCAACTCAATTTCTTCGTACAGACCACGATCAATTAACCATGAATAGAAAAATAAAGAATAATTGTTCTTATTTTGACCCACACAGTTATCACACGTGATAACTAATTTTTTTTCTCCACGATTATATTTTTGTATAGCGTGCCAAACTAAACTTAATGTACAATTAACACCCTTTCCCAGTTTACCATCGTCAGGCATTTCACCTTCATCAATAACATAGTTGGTTTGTTCTGTATGTGGAAAATTCCCGGTATTGCAAACCCCAAACAAGTGTACTTTTCGAGGACTTCTAAAAAATAAACTTCCTATTTGCTGTGGAAAATAAGGAACTTGCACATTTTGAGCCCAATCATACGTAATGTGAGCACTACCTTCAAAAGTTTTAAAAAATACTTGAGATTCAGTTCTATTTGGATTACATTTACCATCTTCAACTGCGCGTGTAATATTAGCATTATAATAATCACGCTCTTCTTTTGCACGGTTCAAATGAGCCAAATAATTCTCTGTCACTGATAATTTCTTTTCATGTTGTGTAGTGTGTTGAATTTCTAGCTTCATTGTTTCACATTTTTCGCATAAATCAGACTTTGGTGACATAAATTGGAGTGATGGTATTAGTAATTTCCAGATTTTATGAAAAGTTGATTCAGCTACAGCTCGCATTTCCCTTCCATATTCATCTTTATAAGCTTGTACATAATCACGATATACTGACATATAACTGTAACTTGTTGGAAGAAATACTACTGGCATGGATATTTTATTAAAGTTTCGTCCAGGTGAAGGTAATCCATGTATATCGGAATAATTTTTTAAAAAATTAAAAATTCCATTTGCTACATCATAATTTACATCAACACGATTCATATTTTTTGGGACATTACCAGTATTACCATGTATACGTTCTTCAAGACCATTTTCTCGTAAATGTTTTATTACATTATCTAAATATAAATGTCCAACTCCAATAAGAGCCTGATATGTGCTGCGACAAATTGGAAGATCATTATTAAAACAATATTTGAAACGTGAAAACTTTCTGTTAATAGCGGTTGTTTTTTTTGTATTTTCTTCCTGCTGGAAAGCCATAAGCTGTCCCTTAACTACCATGTCTCGCATAACTTTATCCAAACTTTCAAATTCCACCCGGCGTTTAAGAAATCGTTCATAGCCTATTTTCTCAAAACAATTAGAATTACATGAGCATTTTTTTTTTTCAAAAAGCTCTTTTACTTTTAATTTTAAATTATCATAGAATTTATCCTCAATATAATTATCAAGATTCTCTACAAACTCAAAATTATTTAGATGCATTTCATTAAAATTTTCTACAAGATCTTCAATTTTATCAGAATCGGAAATATCATCACTATCCGATATATTTTTTTCATCTGAACTTGAATTATTTTCAACAAAAAAAGTATTATCTAGTTCTTCTAAAGCGGATAAAATATTTTTATTTGCATCATCACTATTAAAATTAATACCATATTCCATATTAATTAATAAGAATTATAAACAAAAAATGCGAAAGTTTTTAAAATAAAAGGTGTGAGAAAATTCTAGGATTACGCCTTATTTTTACTAATAAATTATAAATGGAAAATCATTTTTTATGAAAGGTTAGACCTGTATACATATGTTCATCAAAAAATCTCAAAATCACGTGATCGGTCCGAGCCCCGGCTTTTGCTGTGCGGGTCCCCAATTGTCAAGTAATTATTGAACTTGTAGAAAAATTACCTGACATTCTATGGTTTCCAAACGGTAAATAATAGTAATTAATTCTTCATTATTTTATTGTTAATTTTGTATTTTATATTTATAAATAGATTCTAAATTCAACTGTAATTATATATTGGATGATGAATTAAATGTTGATTTTTTTTTGGATTTATGTCAAAATCATGATGCCTATACGAGTAGAAATCTTGAACGAACAAAAACTGTTTTTAAAAACAATGAAAATAATACTTTAGACAAACTTAATGTTAATATGGGTAGTAATTTGGTTTCATATTTAACGAAAAATGATGATTCTACTTTAACTAAATCGTGAGAAAATAGATGGAAGTTAAGTAAAAATACTAATAATAACACAAAAGGTAAACTAATCTATAAACCATTAATTGTTAAAGATGAATTTTTTTCACATTTTTTTCTATTTTTAAATCATTCACATGCTGATAACTCTGCTTTTTTACTGTTACAAATTGGATCTTTCGTAATAGCTAAATTTGACAATACATTTTGTGTTACTCAAATCAACACCATGTATGAACAAAAGTCCTTAATGCATTCATATACTGATACTCCTGTTTTAGATCTCAAATCTCTTTCTTATGTATCTATGAAAAATTTCTTTCATATTAATGGTGCAATTTTTTCAGAGATTCAGAATCATCATTTTTTAATTTTTTCTCATACTAAAATTTCACATATTATTTATCATTTGGTATTAAAAGATATTATTATTAGTGAAGAAGCATTAATTCTTAAAGGACAAGCAAAGGAATACTTTAATGCACTCCTTAAAAATAATAATAAATAAAATCTTAATAAATAAATATAATAAATAAATTTTTTTTTTTACATAATTATTTACATATAAAAATAAAGTCATAATTTAGTTTTGGCGAATTAATACTAAATTTGTATGTAATAATTCAATTTTTGGCGAATTTAACTAATTTTAAGGGTAGTGAAATACCCATAATTTTGTGCAGATCATTTATGACCTATATATGTATTTTCCAGGTCCTTTTTAAAATAAAACTTTTCAAAACTTACTGTTACCGATCTAATTCTAACTAAAGATTAGAACCAATAGCTGATAGTACCTAAAAAAAACAGAAAAAAAATTAAATATTTTTTTTAAATATTAAAAAAAGTTTCAAAATGAAACTTTTCAAAATTTACCGTTATTGATCCAAATTCAAGGGAACTGGTAGTACCTAAAAAACAAAGAAAAAAAAAAGTTAAAATTTTTTTTTAAAAAAAAAGTTTTGAAGCTAAGTTCTTCAAAACTTGCCATTACCGATCTAAAGTCCAAGTCCAAAGATCAGAGCTGATGTACCTAAAAAACAAAGAAAATAAAATTAAATTATTATTTTTTAAAAAAAAATATTAAAAGTTTCGAAAGTTTAAGTAAACTTTCAAAACTTACCGATCCAAAATTTATATCAAAGTCTGGGATCATTCCTAAAAAAAATTTGAAAATGGAATGTTAGTAATGCCTACTAATGTTCCTAATTTAAAAAAATCACGCCCTTCTTTATTTACCTTCCGAGATATTTCATCAGTTCTGAAGCGTCTTGAGGGTTCTTACAATAAAAAAAAAGAATTGGAACGTTAGTACTGCCTACTAATACTTCTAATTTAAAAATAATACCCTTCACCTCCTTCTTTATTTACCTTTTGAGATGTTTTATTAGTTTTGAAGCGTCTTGAAAGTTCCTACAATAAAAAAAAAGAAAATGGAACATTAGTAAATGATACTAACGTCCATAATTTAAAAATAATACACTCCCCTCTTTCTTTATTTACCTTCTGAGACGTTCATCAGTTTTGAAGCATTTTGAGGGTCCTACAATTTAAAAAAAAGAAAATGGAACATTAGTAAATGACACTAACGTCTATTATTTAAATATCTTTTCTTCTCCTTTTTTATTTACCACTGGTCGAAATAGTCCAAATCGGCTAGAAATCAGATGTCCGATTTTAGGCTGAATTTGGTGATAAAGATGGCCAAATTATCAATCCAAAAAAAGTTCCGATTGGCAGGCTGATCAATGCCGATCAGAATGTCCGAATTGTATCTAGATTGCTTAGTATTTTTAATCCGAATTGTTTAAAAAAATATATTCATAAATTTACCGAATTGCAGTGAATTTATTCTGAATTATGATAAATATTGATAAATTGTGATAAATTTTAATCTGAATTACAGTAAATTTTAATCTAAATTGCAGTAAATTTTATTCTGAATTGTGATAAATTTTAATCTGAATTGCAGTAAATTTTCTATTCTGAATTGCAGTAAATTTTATTCTGAATTGCGGTAAATTTAATCTGAATTGTGGTAAATTTTATTCTGAATTGCGGTAAATTTAATCTGAATTGTGGTAAATTTTCTATTCTGAATTGCGGTAAATTTATTCTGAATTGTGGTAAATTTTATTCTGAATTGCGTTTGAATTGCAGTTAATTTTATTCTGAATTGCATCTGAATTGCAGTAAATTTTATTCTGAATTGTATCGCAAATTACAGTAAATTTTATTCTGAAATTTAAAATATTACATATATATATAAAACAATTTCGCCTAAAAATCAATATTCCAGTTGCCTGAAAACTTGAAAGGTAAAGTAGCCGTTTAAAATCACCTTACTGAATTTCCATGCGTTTAAAAGACCTCAGAATAACGTTAAAAATGTTTAATTGCGTAAATAATAAAATACTTTTTTATAAAAGTTTTGAATTTTTTGTTTTGAAACTAACCTGGAAATCTGGTATACGTTAAATTCCTTAATTCCCAGAAAATCAAAACGTTACCTGTAGGATGGCAAATCAGAGCCGATTTCCCTACAAAAAAAATAATAAAAATAATAAAAAAACGTTAAATTAAATGTTTTTTATTAAGTTTCGTCAAAAAGTTTCAAAAATAGAAACTTTACTTGCGGGATTCCGGTATCCAAATTGGAGCCGATTTCCCTGCAAAAAAAAAATCAATGAAATATAATAAAAAAATGTTAATGTTTTTATTAAGTTTCGTCAAAAAGTTTCGAAAATCAAAACTTTACTTGCGAGATTCCGGTATTCAAATTGGAGCCGATTTCCCTGCAAAAAAAAAATAAAAAATAATTAAAAAACGTTAAAATAAACGTTTTTTTATTAAGTTTCGAAAATACGAAACTTTACCTATAGGATTGGCCAAATCAGAGCCGATTTCATATAAAAAATATAAAAAACATTAAAAATAAACATTTTTTATAAAGTTTCAAAGAAAGAAACTTTAAAACTTTACCTATAGGATTGGCCAAATCAGAGCCAATTTCCTATAAAAAATATAAAAAACGTTAAAATTAACGTTTTTTTATTAAGTTTCGAAAATACGAAACTTTACCTGTAGATTTGGCCAAATCGGAGTCCCGCACTTTAGTGTTCTGGACCTATAAAATTAAGAACAAACGTTAGTTAACGTTTGTTAAAATAAAATAAAAAAAAAAATTTTTTTCGAAGTTTCACTTTCGAAATGCCACCTAAAAAGCCGAAAATCTAAAAAAAAAAGAAAACTGAAACATTAGTCAACGTTTCGTTCAAATAAAAAAAGAATAAAAAATCGGAATTTTAAGAGGTACCTTCAAAATTCCATCCAGTCATACGGAAACCGAAGAGCTGAAAACCTAAAAAAAAGAAAATTGAAATGTTAGTAATGTTTCGTTCAAATAAAAAAAGAAATAACAAAAATGCAGAATTTCGAAGAGGTACCTTGAAATTCCGTTCAGTCATACAGAAACCGAAGAGCTGAAAACCTAAAAAAAAGAAAATTGAAACGTTAGTAATGTTTCGTTCAAATAAAAAAAGAAAAAAAATGTGGAATTTCGAAGAGGTACCTTCAAAATTCCATCCAGTCATATAGAAACCGAAGAGCCGAAAACCTAAAAAAAAGAAAATTGAAACGTTAGTAACGTTTCGTTCAAATAAAAAAAGAAAAAAAAAATGCAGAATTTCGAAGAGGTACCTTCGAAATTCCATCCAGAAATACGGAAACTGGAGTGCCAAAATCTAAAAAAAAAGAAAATCGAAATGTTAGTAACGTTTCGCTAAAATAAATTTTTTTTTCCTTAAATTTAAAGAAAGTTAAAGAATTGAAATCTCCTTCTTTCTTACATCATGTCAAATATAACAGAAATTTCAACACTTCCAACAGAATTAATAGAAGTTTCGCACTTTAATACTCCTCGATTATTAAATTATCTTTGTCAAAATAGAAAATTTTTTTCTTTGGCGGTTCCATTAATTTGGGAAAATTTGGGTGATCGTTATTAGGTGCTGGACCAAAAACTCCATTGCGCTGGCTTTCCGAAGTTTACCTTTGAAATGGGACCGTTCTGTATCTTTTTTTCTTTCGAATTTTTTTTTTATTTTTTCTTTCTTTTTCCTTTTCAGTTTTTTTTTTCAACCTGATTTTTCTCTTTATCCCTCTTCCAAATTTTTTTTTTCGTCTTTATTTTTTTGATCGAAGGTTTATACCTTCAAAATGGAATCCAGCGGCGTCTTGGACCTAATAAAAAAAAAAGAAAACAATGTTAGTTACCTAACGTTCTGCATTAAATAAAAATAAAAAAATTCTTCAGGCATTACCTTCCTTTCAAGTCTCCGGAGGGTTCCTAAAAGTGAAAAGCGTCTTGAGGGTCTACAATAAAAAAAAGAAAGTGGAACATTAATAAATGTATATTAACGCTCCAATTTAAAAAAAACAATCCCTTCTCCTCT